TATGTGACGTTTTAAGGACGAAAAACGTCCTCAGGACTTCCTCCAGAACGTACTCTGACGAAGTACCCTGGACATCTGTGCTGGTAGAATGTTTTCTTTTACTTTTAAGAAGATTCCTCTATATTCAATTTATATTCATATTTGTATTTTTTGGTCAAGTTTATGTAGTACAAGTGAAAAAATGGACCTTTAAGCGAAATTTACAAGAGACTTTTCTGCGAAATTTCATTTACCTCAACCGAAATATGAAAAAGTTGGTACGGTAATGCATTATGGCATAAACACGTGTCTTGTAAGTGAAAAGATCAGGAGTGATCTGAAGTTGATATGTGACGTTTTAAGAACATAAAACGTCCTCAGGACTTCTTCCAGAACGTATTCTGACGAAGTACCCTGGACATCTGTGCTGGTGGAATGTTTTCTTTTATTTTTAAGAAGATTTTTGTATATTCATATTTGTATTTTTTGGTCCAGTTTATGTTGTACAAGTGAAAAAATGGACCTTCAAGCAAAAGTTACAAGAGACTTTTCTGGGAAATTTCATTTACCTCAACCAAAATATGAAAAAGTCGGTACGGTGATGCATTATGGCATAAACACGTGTCTTATAAGTGAGAAGATCAGGAGTGATCTGAAGTCGATACGTGACGTTTTAAGGACGAAAAACGTCCTCAGGACTTCCTCCAGAACGTATTCTGACGAAGTACCCTGGACATCTGTGCTGGTAGAAGATTTTTAATTGAAAATACTTTATACACTGTCAAAGTCCATAGCTTTATTTGCGACGCCCCAGCTAAAGCTTATATAAAATGTACAAAGTCACATAACAGTTATTCGTGCTGTGATAAATGTGTAGAAAGTGGAGAGTATTTTGAATGTAGAATTATCTTCAGAGATGTAACAGCTCAAAAAAGGACAGATTTGGACTTTCAGTTACTGATGAAGACCATCATATAAATATATCTCCTCTGTCAAAACTTTCAATTGGATTAGTTACGGATTTCCCAATTGACTACATGCACGCCGCATGTTTAGGTGTCATGAGAAAATTTTTAAATATTTGGGTGCATGGTAAGTTAACAGTACGTTTATCTGATCGATTAATAAATCAATTATCGGAAAGATTAATTTCTTTTAGTGAATTTATTCCTATCGAAATTAATAGAAAATCCCGTTCGTTGCGTGAACTTTCATATTGGAAAACTATAGAATACAGAACTTTCCTTCTTTAGGTTCTGTAGCATTGAAACGCATTTTTGCCTACTACATTGTATGAAAACTTTCGTAACGATCCGGATAATCAGTACTAGAAATCAGAAGAAAAGAAATGCATAAGATCGTGAATCGAAAGAAACGAGAGAAGACAGCACGTTCTCTCAAACATAAACAGCGCGACCGCCGAATAACTGCAGTAAACAGCGAATCAAACGTGATTCGTAATATATAAAACGCCGCGAATTGTAATCGTGTTCAGATCCGATCTACCTCTCTTTCGAGAGAATCAGATTCCGATCCTCCGCTCTCAAAAGAGATCCGCAGATACCGTTCCTGGCAGCTTTCTGTTCGCGGATTTGCGACTGAAGGCATTCCGCCGTCGACTCACGGATTCATGATATCGACATTGCTCTAGCTACCATTCCTGGCAGCTTTCTGTTCGCGGATTCGCGACTGAAAGCACTCCGCCGTCGATTCACGGGTTCGCGATATCGACATTATTCTATCTGCCGTTCTTGGCGGATTTCTGTTCGCGAATTCGCGACTGAAATCACTCCGCCGCCGGCTCACGGATTTATGACGTCGACACTGATAAACTACCGATATTCGCAGGATTTCACGGCCACCGAAGGACCTGGAGTCGACATACCGGAAGGGTGCTTAACGCAACCTTCACACTGCAATCCGGATCTCGCCTTCGTCTTAGCACGAGCGAGATCACCTCGTGATCCAGTCGCCGTATGCAAACTCGTCACCATAGATTCGGAAGTTGCACTCTATTGCAACGCAACTTCGACACCGCGTATTAAGGATCCGCGTTAGGATCACACCGTCGTCGCCTTGCAAAGACGCGAGACGACCTCTACGATACTCGTAACCGATCTCCAGAAGGAAGCTCGGCTGGACTCCGTTACCGCAACATATAGGCGTCCGCGGCACCGTCTTACTGCATCCGCAATCGCGTTGGAACGAGCCTGGCTCGTTCGATTACAAAGGAAACTCCGAGAGCTAAGGTCCCGTGTACGAGGACCAACGACCGCACCGCATACCCCGAACCGAATCAAATCTCCACGATAGGAAATCGGAGGTATCGCCACTAAGGCCCCGCGTGCAGCTACGCTGCAGTCTTACTGATCACGCACACTGCTGCCTCGAAACGCAGCTAAAATCATCGCAAAGAAGTTGTCAACCGCAATTAAAGAGGCGAGACGCTGAGAAACGTCAACAAGACGAACTCGCGAATACGCGACACTTACACTGTCCGCGTCCCGCGTATCACATCTAGCAAGCTATCGCGTAAATAAGCCTCTGACAGACAATACCAGGTATGTAAATATAAAACCGGAATTTTTGTATAGAAAATACACGTTTATTGTATGAAGATGATAAAAAATATTTTATTCGAAGTATTGCCCATCGCTAGCTATATATTTTTCCCACCTGTCTGACAATTTGTGGATGCCATGCTAAAAAAACTGTTGCTCTTTTGAGGCAAACCAGTCATCGAGCCATTTTCGTACATTTTCGTAAGAAGTGAAGCGCTGCTTAGCAAGTGCGTGTCCCATCAATGCAAATAAATAGTAATCGGACGGAGCCAAGTCTGGTGAGTAAGCCGCATGCGAATGTATTTCCCAACGCTTCAATCGTTTCCTTGACCAGTTTTGCTGTGTGTGTTGTGTGTGCATTATCATGAAGCAAAATCACTTTGTGTTGCTCTTTTTTATATTCTGGTCGTTTTTTACGCAAAGCTTGATTCAAATCGATCATTTGTCAGTAGCGTTCAGTATTAACGGTTTGGCCAGGTTTTAGCAGCTCATAATAGATCACACCCTTCTGATCCCACTAAACACAGAGCATTGTCCTCCGTCCATAGCGATTTGGTCTTGCAGTCGATGTCGACGGTTCGCTTGGAATTACCCATGATCTTTTACGCTTAGGATTCTCAAAATATATCCACTTTTCATCGCCAGTCACAATTCGATGGAGAAATGACTTTCTTTTGTACCTGGCAAGCAGCATTTCGCAAGTGGTTTTTCGGTTTTCCTGCTGTCTTTCATTCAGTTCATGTGGAACTCATTTTCCCATCTTCTGGATCTTTCCCATGGTTTTCAAATGTATGGAGACGGCTTCTCGTGTCACATTTAATTGATCCGCGAGTTG